TTTAAATATATTATTAAACATTTAAATTTAACATTTAGTAAAAATTTGCTAAATGTAAGAACGGTGAGCTAAATAATAAAACGTTAGCGACATATTTTAACACTTTATTTTACTCTTGGTGTCCCATTTATGACATTTAAAATGAAAACATCTAGACTGTCTGATGTAAAACTGCCACAATAATGTCAAATGAAGCTGGTCTTTAGTTCGAAAGGTTGTTCACCTCACGGTCAGAAGCTGCGCTTTAATGTTGTCTCTTGTGTTCGCATGTGTTCTTAAATTTAAAGGACAAAAAAAATGTTGTTTAATTAAATCCAATGTGATAATCATGATTCCTTCTCAAGTTTAATTCATTTCTGCTCYGATAACAACCACGCTTGGTCTAATTGCAAGCATGAGCAACCCATAAAACACCGCCGAATGAGCCTGAGCCAAATGAGCCTGCGTCAGCCACATCTGATAGGAGATGCAGGACAAAGACACAAGCAGGATATTGACCTCTGGGACGAGAGCAGACCCTTTCTATAGACTTTTGTTCACTAATACTTGATAAATTCAGCAAATGAGTCGCAGCTATTTTAGGTGTGATAAATGATCTGCTTTGGATTGGRTAAATGACTCATCTGTGCTCCTACGCCGAGCAGAAAATGTGAAGCAACAGAGAGAAACAAACTGCTCATCTGATTCAGGCTTGTGCTGTTTTTACTCTGGTCATGGAATTGAATTATTTCATGTATCACTTCAGACTGCTGCAGCTTTAATTATGGAAACGCATTATGTAGATATGCATCATATGCAACAGTTAACAGGAGCTCACAGACAACAGATGACGGCAGCATGAGAGTTTTTCATCAGTGAGGCTGCTTAAAACAAACGTACATTGTGAAAGGATTCGGCCCCCCTCGAACTTTTCAACCTTTTGCCACATTTCAAGCTTCAAACATAAAGATATAAAATTTAAATGTTTTTGTGAAGAATCAACAACAAGTGGGACACAATCGTGAAGTGGAACAAAATGTATTCGATATTTTAAACTTTTTTACCAAATAGAAAATTGAAAAGTGGGGCGTGCAATATTATTTGGCCCCTTTACTTTCAGTGCAGCAAACTGACTCCAGAAGTTCAATGAGTATCAGGTACATGTTGAAAATGAAACAGCATTTCTATTCCATTTTAATTAAAATATTGTTACATATTCACTTCCATAGTCCAAGATACTGTTGTGAAGAAGTTTAAATCTGGATTTGGATACAAAAAGATTTCCCAAGCCTTAAACATCTCAAGGAGCACTGTGTGAGCGATCATACTGAAATGGAAGGAGTATCAGGCCACTGCAAATCTACCAAGACCCGGCCGTCCCTCTAAACTTTCATCTGGAACAAGGAGAAGAATGATCAGAGATTGAGCTAAGAGGCCCATGATCACTCTGGATGAACTGCAGAGATCTACAGCTGAGGTGGAGAGGAGAGTCTGTCCATAGGACAACAATCAGTCGTACACTGCACAAATCTGGCCTTTATGGAAGAGTGGCAAGAAGAAAGCCATTTCTCAAAGATATCCATAAAAMGTCTTGTTTAAAGTTTGTCACAAGCCACCTGGGAGACACACCAAACATGTGGAAGAAGGTGCTCTGGTCACATGAAACYAAAATCAAACKTTTTGGYCACAATGCAAAATGATATGTTTGGTGTAAAAGCAACACAGCTCATCACCCTGAACACACCATCTCCACTGTCAAACATGGTGGTGGCAGCATCATGGTTTGGGTCTGCTTTCTTCAGCAGGGACAGGGAAGATGGTTAAGTAAGTAAGTAAGTAAAGTTTTATTTATATAGTGCCTTTCACAGAAATAAATTCACAAGGTGCTGTACATTCAGGGAAGGCGGGAGGGGGCAGTTAAGACCGGTCAGGCAGCAAAACACATTTGCGCTATCATAACAACAAAAACAACAGAAAATCTAAAAACCACACAAGGGAAGAAGAGGAAAAAAGGCAAAAACATCATATCAACACTGTGACATTCTATGGTTTTTATGAAAAACCTCTGCATAGGGCAGATTTATTAGCCAGAGGAGTAAGTGAGTTTAGGAGGCCCKAAGTATCCAGTCCCCAAAACCAGCACAGCCATTGTTCAGAATATTGACGTAACTGCTCATTTCTGTGTGGCCCTCAGCCTGCTCAGGAAATCAAATTAGACGGGTGAGAGAGGAGGGGTGCAGGTATGAGGCAGAGCCTTATCGACGTAATCCAGGCAGGAAGAATTTAGTCAACAGATCAAGGCCATTGTAGGGGAGACCCAGATTCTGTAATCAGTTGTTTTGGGAACAGATGGGTCAGGTAGACGATAACAAATTTCCATCTGCTTTAATGTCTACTGGTGCATCTCAAGGTGGTGAATCCAATCAGGCAAAAATTCCACCGAGCTGATCTATCAGCTTCTCCAAGATCAATTCCATCTGGCCAGCAAAGTCCAGGGACCACACCCGGCCCGCGGCCCTCAGCAGAACCACCTGCAGACCGAGTCCAGCTCACTCAAGGCAAATGTCCGAGTGCTGATAGAATACGGCCATCCATCAAATTGGTCAGTCAGCCAGGAGATGAACAGCCACCAACACTGTTTTGTAGAACACCAGGAGACCACAAAGCCAATCTGTAGAATCCAGTGATCAGAATCCAGTTATATATATCCAGGACAGAGAAGAACAGAGGTCCCACCTTTGACATGCCCTCCCATGGAAGAACAAAACTTTGTTCCTTAAATTTTATTGAGAGACCAGTTAACCAAATCCATAAAAATAAAAATATCCATAATTTGTAGTTTCGGATGAAAAATGTAGAGAAGGCTCCAAGCAGCAAAGCAGGGAAAGATAAGGAAGGGCAGGAGAGAAGGAAAAAGCATCTTACTCCTCTGAGAGTGGAAACAAAAAGAAAAAAAATACATTCAAGGTTTTCCACAATTTCTTAATATCATTAATAGAGTTATGGGATTTCTGTTTACAATAATCACACTTTTTACTGTGATTTAGTTTTGTGGCCTTATTTCTCAATGAGCAGTAAGTTCTTCTGTCTTCAGAACACCCTGACTTATGAGCAACTGCGTTGGCCTTGTCCCTTTGAAGCATCAAAGATCTCAACTCACTGTCCAGCCATGGTGCACTGTTACTCTTTRTAGACMTTCTTCTGAGAGGAGCGTACTTATCAACCAAATTCATWAATTTCTCCATAAATGTGTTTAAAGCAACACTCACATTCTGTTCTTCACAGAACCTCTGACTATTGAATATTATTAATGTCAGATATAAATAAGTCTGGGTTAAATCTTTTAAATGACCTGTGGAGAACAATCCTAACTACTGATTTGAGCAATTTTGTGTCTCTTGAAAAAGCAATCAGATTGTGATCACTGAACCCCACAGCTTTTGAAACTGTTTGTACACAAAGCTCTGGAATATTATTAAATATCAGGTCAATACAAGTTGAGGTATTTTTGCCATTTGTGCCAAAGGAATTTGTAGTAGGCTGCTTGACAATCTGGGTAAAATTACAAACACTAGCCATAGAAGACAGTGTTTTRCGTAAGGGACAGTGTTTTGAAAACCAGTCTACGTTAAAATCCACTAAAAGAAAAATGACTTTGTTTTCCTCAGAAACTCTGTCTAGTAAAAAAAAAAAGGTCAAAATGAGAGAAAAATCAGCAGATAAAAACTAAAATCAGCTACATAGAAGCTAAAGAAGGCTGAAATTAGCAAAAAGAAGTAAAAACGCAGAACAAGAACAAAAGGTAAAAAGTACAGTAAATATTTAAAACATTTCATTTTAAAGACTTAAAGGATGTTGAAAACAGATCCATTCATTTTCATTAATGAAAAACGATAAAGTTAAACATCTCCAAAATYATAAATTACTGAAATACCATAAATCATAGCCGAAACATCATGAAGGGGCTAAATGTTTTTATATTTAAATTGTAGAAAAAGCWCAAAAACTGGTGGAAAATGAAGAATAAATATCCCAATAGAGTGAATGTTTGATAAGAAATATACAATCTTGTGGGCAAAGAGAAAAAGAGCAGGAGATCTTTGTGCTCTGAATCAGATAAGCTGCTGTACCACACTGTCACCAGCAGAGGCCAGTATTACACAGAAACCGCTTCCTTTCCTTTTGGAAAAGAATGCAAAATAAATGTGGCGATTTTAAGAATAAACTCTAAATACAAAGATAAATATTAAATGTTTTATAAAAGACTTTTTGTTTTCCTTTTTAACTGCAATTTTCCTAGGTATCCAAAACATCCCACAGCATTTAAATTTGAACAGAGTCAAACAGTAAATTAATCATTTTTGACATCAGTAGGCCTATGTTGTTTTTTTTTTCAGAAAAAAAAAACAAAACAAAACATTTTTATGATATAAATATATGTAGGAATAAAAAGAGTTTATTTGCTAAACGTTTAACAAGTTTCAACCACTTAAAATTTGATCACACTAAATGGTTCCTAAATTTCAGGTTGGGAACCCGGCACGACTTTTTATTTTAGGAAAAAATAAATGAATCTGACCCTTGTTTTTAGGAGCTTTGGGGTCCCTATTAATATATAGATCATATAATGTGACTTGTCATCAGACTTTTAATGTGTGTGTGTGTGTGTGTGTGTGTGTCGTTCCCTGAGGGCAACACCATGCCAGAGGGTTAATAAAAACCGAAACATCATTACGTCACTGTAATACACTTTGTTTGTCTTATTTCTGAAGTGTTACTTTCCTTGCCTCAACTTATTGGTTCACCTGGTCATGTTTCAAGATTCTTACACGCGCCCGCCTACGTGCACGCGAGTCGAGATGGAGGAAAAAAGAAAAAAAAACATTCAAAATGGCGCCATGTTGTCCCTAATTAACTCCAGCCAGGTGTTGGTAATTATCGCCTAAATTAGTTCAGCTCGTTTTCTTTCACCGTTGAAACAGACGGATAGAAGTGGTGATGAGGGGCGTTTAAGACACCTTAAAACAATCTGTCAAATAACTCAGAGTTTATTGTGTCTTAATCACGAATCAGATTCTCGTTGGAAAAAAGCACAACAATAATATCAATTACAAAAAAATTATATCCAGCTCACACACCTTGCCTCCGAGCAGCACGTTGTGTCCAGGTGTATTTCCTGTTGACCGGGTCGTTAAAGTGGATCCTACAGGCTCCGCCCACTCCGTCAAGGTACACCGGTGTGTAAATGGTGCAGACCCAGACTCGTTGAGCAGAAACTTCACAAGGAGCACGCAGGAGAAGTAAGTCAGCGTCCTTTCAAACATCTTTTTGAACACGATGGTTTATTTTTTTGGTGCCAGCCGTGGGAGCACGAGGCGCTCTTCACGGTGCAGAAAGTTTACTGAGCTGCAGAGAAACTAACGCGAGTTCAGCAAATAAAGTCCTGGTTGGAGTCAATAAAGCAAAGTGCAGCTTCATCATCAGATGTGTTCAAAACTTGTTCCTTCAAAGCTTTAGTGCCATCTGGCGGTCAGAGTGGAGACTAAACAAATTGGAACAGCTGTTAGTTTGTTGAAATTTCTGTAATAGGTGTGTGGAAAGAGAAAAATGCCGTTATGACTTTTTTGAAGGTTGAATCAAAGTAATTTAGACAAGTAAGACAATATATTTTATTTTAAACACTGGGCTTTGTTTTCACAGGCTGAACTTCTAAAAATCCTCTTGTTTTGTGTCTTGATGCTGATTAAATCTCTCATCCATGGCTTATTCTTATCCAGTGTTCCAGACAGTAAAACTGTGGAAGACTCAAAGGCCACTGAGGAATGAGTGCAGCTCTCTGCACCTAAACAGAGGGATAATAATTTAAGTTTACACTTATTAAAGCGATCTTTAATAGCAACCGAGTTGAGCAGAACTTACCATGAGCTATAACTGAAGTGTTTCTTTTTATGTACGCATGACGTCTTATCTTTAAAGCTGTCCTAAGAACAATGTAATGTTTGATGTAATCAGGCTCCTGCCAAAGTCCAAACACACGGTTGGGAACACACACCCTCAGACGACGAATGACGTGTTAACATTAACACCGCAAAATCAATCTGTAAAATTTGCCAAACCACTTAAAATACTTAAAGATGAAATTGTAAGAATTTTGCTGTTTTTTTTTAATAAGCCACATGAATTGGACAGGTTTCTCACATGTAGTCCCATAAAGATTTGAAAATGTTCCAAAAATCACTGGACAGAACATGTTTCATGTGTTAATTTAATGCTTCCACATGTGGAAACATTTTTGTAAGGGACACTTGTTTTATTTTCATAAAATGCRTGCAAATAATAATAATAAATACTTTTCATATGACATTTTGCAAAAATATCCTTTTTAATATAGTACAAAGTATATACATATTTGTAATTTTAGCTGAAGGCACCTTTATCAATAACTCAGTTTGTGTGAATATTTGTCGTATCTGTACTTTGGTTTTGTTAAACTCAGCTGAGGAGCTGTCGGGTGATCCTGACCTTCGTGTGGATTAAATTGTTAGATGATGTGATTACACAGACGCACCTGATGCTGACGCACATGTGATGTCATGCCCTGGACGTCACCCATGACCACATGTGGGGATTAAGAGATGCTCATCTTTATGGTCTTAAACTTTAATTTATTTTACTTGATCACTGAATAAATGGTCATTATCTCTCAAATCAAAGTCTTAAAGAAAACAAACATGTAAAAATCAAAGCTTTATTAATTAACTTTTTAATATCGATATACTTTAATTTTAAGCTCTTTTAAGACATAAGTTTGATTGGGACACATACAGCACTAAAACTCTGAACTTGATCTCCACACTGTACATAAAATCAGTTTTTTTCTTGTAATTTCATTTTCAGAAATTGTATTCCTAATATTCCAGGCTAAGTGTTTTTAAAAGGAGTGTATCACCTGTTTTCTTTTATACCTTAGTTTTAACTAAGCTCATTTTTGCATGGTTCACATGATATTATGCTAACAGGACAAACACACACTGACAGTGGCAAATTAATGTGCCCTGTCTCATACAGCAGCAGATAACATGGTCTGACTTATTAGAAATCTTGGATTTGTTTCGTTTGATTTTATCATTCAAAATTCAAAACTTCAGTTTAAAAAAAAAATTCTGAATAATTAAAACACCACATTGCGATAAAATATTCCTCATTCAAAATGACTCTGATGTAAAACAGATCTCTTTATACTAAACGTTTGTTTTAGCTGTTAGAGTGGAAGAACCTTTTTAAGTCCAGTTTATACCAGTGTGACGCTGATTCAAGGTCAGCTGGGAGTGTCTGAGGACAGTTTCCCAACAAAGCTTGAAACCAGCGCAGCAGTCATCAGCACAAAGTTCACTGACCAAGTGGTGCAACAGGAGCAGAGTGTGTTAACGCAGCGCTGAGGAAAACAACCTTCACACTGATTTCTTTCTAAACTTCGAGGAGGCGGACGGCCACAATTTCTTCATTGTAAGATTTAATTTGTATTTTTGTCTGGACTTTATTGGAACTTTAATAAATGAGAAGAAAATGGATAGATGGACCTTTCAGATTCATCACAATCTCCCCTTTAATATAAGTTTATTTTACGTTCCTTTTGAATTTAGGTCTGTTAAAGAAACGTTGCTTTATTACAGATAAATGAGTTCTCAGATGGATTATGCAATGAAGTCTCTCGGCCTCCTGACTCCATCCAGCCTGTCCAAGTAAGAACCTTTCCTCTACCAGCTCTAGTCTCTTTCTTTTTTTTAAAGTGAGATTTATACTTAATTTATATATTCTCTCCTTTTCAGGGCTGTAACATCGAGTGTGTCAGCCAGCGCCTCCATGACCCAACAGCTCCTGTCGGGTCGAGCCCTTCGACCAAAACCCTTCAGGGTCACGAACGCAGACCGGGGTGTGAAGAAAGGCATCATGGCAGAGACTCTCGAGGACCTGATGAACAAGGTGAGAGAACTGTACAGCTAAAGAAACCATGGAGCCATGAAGATGATGAAATTTAACACATCACCTATTGTTAGTGTCTGTCGGCTCTGTTCTTTTATCACGTTGTACTCTGGCTCTCACTGTTTCACACACTTCGTGTTTGTTTTATCTGCGTATTTTTGCTCTCTTAGTTTTTCACGTTATCTCATTAAAATCTTAACCCTTATTTGAGCCAAAGTCCAACAAGATTGGTGGAATTGCAGATTATCTGAAACATTTAGGGAGGTGAGGAACTTGTGGAAGTTTCCTCCATTTTGTAGCATTAAAAGTTTAAAGTAGAAAAAAACTAGAAATGTACAAAGTGTTGAAGGAATGAAGTAACCAGGACTTGTTTGTGACCTTCTGTTCACGTTTCAAGCCCATAACAAAAGTGAGATGTTATCACTCTGATTAAATTAAGAGACTTATCCTGCAAAATCCACCTCTTCAGCCATTAAATGCTTTTTCTTGTGGACTTGGAGTCTCTAGGAGTTCAGAAAAGTTGCGTTTAGTCTGTCCCGGTGCTGTGTAGATATCTTTTTATTCTGTTTGGGTCATATTTTTTCAGCTTTATTAAGTTTTCCCTTTTTTCTATCAGGGATGGGCATCATTAAGATTTATTGATGCTCTAATGGATCCAGTATTTTAACGGTCCTCTTATCGATGCTCTTCTATGAAAATAAACCCAAAAACGAGTATTTTAGAACACACAGTATAGACTTTGAAAAGTCATTTAGCCACATATTTGATGTTTTTCAAAGCGACCTCAGTCTGAACGTTCACGTCTCATTTCATCTGACCTTCACATCAGAGGTGGAAGCCGATCCTTCCATAAAGACACTAACCTCGAGTCATGCTCTTTAAATCTGGCAGCTCCACACGTCTTAAGAAGTTCAGTTGCTTCTTTGCTTTTCTTTTAACTTTCCATGTCCTGATGACTGAGAATCCACAGAACCATGCGATAGTAACGTCTGTTGGTAGCGAACTGTATCGATACTCGATCGAAGCGTGTCAGAGAATTGTTTAATCGGATCTGATTGCACAACAACCTCTGAATCGACATAGGCTACTTCTGAAAACACGTTGCTGACTGTTGACGCCACATTTTATCTGTGCATGCAGACTTTGGATCTTTTTAGCTTGCTGTTGTCACTCCACCATCGCTGGAATCCTGTGTTTTTAGCAGCCCCTCCCCCCCGTGCTGAGTCTGACAGCATAGGAGAAGCAGAGGGAGAGGAAAACTGCTAATTGTTTTTGAGTAAATCTAAACAAAGCAACGTGGCTTTGTCAATGCTAGTCATGCCACTACTGCAGTACATTTTTTGATACTGTTGAGGTTAAAAAGTAATGGATTTCAATATCCAACCAATTTTTTTTCTGAACTATTACTTCACAGTTTTTGTGACAGAATTGCCAAATAAAGTCTGGACTTAGTAACTATACAGTAATTTCATTGTCTTCTTCCTCCTCTGGGTCAGGCTCTGGCTCCAACATGTAAAACTAGATGGACAAGTCTTTTCTTTAATTTGTAAATAAAACATTTATGCGCTTCTATGTAGTCGTAAACCCCTTTATCAAACTAGAATAAATGGGTCTGGAAGCTGGAGGAGGGCAGGGTTTGAAGAGACAGCCTCAAAACGAGTAGTTCTGAGACGCACCTCAGCAAAGCGGCAGGGCTTTTGGAGTTACAATAAGGAGGAATTCAGATCAAAGTATGGCAGTTCCACTTTATACAGACCCCAACTGAATGATTTAAATGTGAAAAAGAGATTTAAAAGCAGGAAATGACTCCTTTAATATTGAAACATGTTTTTGGAGACAAACTTGTGCTTTGTGATTCATGGGAGTTTCCTCTCCTCCCACTGCAGTTCACATAAATAATGTGCATATACATGATTTTTTTTCTTTGGTCTTTATTTTCAGGTCAGCTTCTCGTTGACTTTAGAGTGCGTCAGCGCTCTGGTTCTGGATGAAGACGGCACCGGTGTGGACACGGAGGAGTTCTTCCAAACGCTGCCAGAGAACACGGTTCTCATGGTCCTGGAGAAGGGTCAGAAATGGACCCCTCATCCTGTAAGTCTCTGAGCAGGAACTGTCACTAGATGGYGACATTTGTCTAGCTCATCAGTCTCCCTTTAGTTTGGCTTGTTGATTGAAAATACAAAAATCAATGACTTATGCAGCTTATAAATGTGGGCTGAACACCAAAAGTTTGTTTTGTCATAATTCTTGTAGACATGAAAAGATGTTCATTTAATCAGACCCAGCAGTGTCCATATGTAAATGGTATTTACGTTAATTTAAGTACCTCCACTCCTCCTTACAGAACAGCCCCTCCAGATATCAACACATCGAACGCCTTCGGCAGCACCGCACAGATGTGGCCAAGCTGACCCTGGACCTCTACAAGAACAACCCCAAAGATTTTATCGGCTGCTTGAACGTGAAAGCGACCCTGTACGGTGCTTACACTGTGTCCTATGATCTGCGCTGTTATGCAGCCAAAAAGATTTTAAAGTGAGTAAAAACTGTAAAAGCTTTTTGTAACTACTTGCCTGTAGGGGGAAGATACCTAATTTTAGACTAAAGTTATGTTTTGACTCTAATTTGCAAAGCATTTAATTTTTCTGACGCAGTTCCAGTTCTTCAGTGTTTTGTTTTTCTCCCTGTATGTCWGCAGGGTATTTAGTAGCACTTTCCAGTATTGTTGGCAGCCCCTCTGAATGCAGAACAGGAAGTTGTAATTTGATGAGTGCTTGTTTTTATCGTGCGCTCCGAGAAGAACAAAGGGTAAATTGTGCAGAGATTAATTTCATCAGGTGTTACGTCATCGCTGCTGGTTTTCAGCTTTGACACAGACCCTCAGAGGATTATAGTTTGTGGACTTATCAAAACGTGATGCTTATCACTGTTTCAATGGATTTCAGAGGCTGTCAATAGAAGTTTGTTGCTTCTGAAACATGTTTTTGTTCTGAACTGGGCTGTGTGTATGCCATGTTGCATATTTGTGTCCAACCGTGTCTCTGCATATGGGAATTGACWGTTTGTCCCACTCTGTGCTTGCAGGGAGGCTCTCCGGTGGACCGTCTTCTCCATGCAGGCCACAGGCCACATCCTGCTGGGCTCCTCCTGGTACATCGAGCAGCTGCTGGAGGAAGAGGAGGCAGCTGAGAAGAGGCTGGCGCTGCCGCAGGAGAGCCGGATGAGGCAGCTGCAGAGCCTGCTGCTGGGGAAGAGCTCCCACTGATGATGGGCGGGCTGCAGTGAAGGGGACATGGCTATTCTCTCCTAGATTTAGGTCACGGTGTAGATGAGATGGAGTGTTGTCATTTTCCAAGTTTAATTTAATATTGTATTGTGTATTACAACAGTTGTTTGTTTGTCAGTGTTTTTTTGCTCTGTTACATTTATTACATCAATTTTCTCTGAATGCACTTTTACTCCTGTGTAACTTGTTCCTACAGAAAATCTAATAAAGAAAATGAACTTGTTTTAATTTTCATACTCAAACTGTCTGCACTATATTACCACACGAGTTTGGTTTTAAACAGGAAGTCCATTAATCGGGCCGTCTTGTGCGTTTCCAGATCATAGCCGGTGTAATTGGCAACAGGTTCAGCGGTCTCTCCCACGCCTCTCTAATTGTCCCCCCGGTCTGTGCCGTCCTGTCAGCTGCAGCCTGCCTCAGAAAACGGAAGGAAAGGGGCCGGCAGCTGCAGGGGGCGAGGGGACAGAAGCAGGCCATTACACCCAGAGAGGCGACGGTYACAGCTGGCAGCAGAAGCATCACTTTTACCATCCAGACGGGAACACATGAAGCAGGACGGGGTTTAGCCAAATTGGCTGTCGTCTGTGTCCTAAAGAAGATAAATGTCAGTGTCACACATTCAGTGGGGGTGAGGGTGGTTCACTTTCTTTCTCAAGGTTTTCTTTTGCTCCTGATATAATTATTTTTGAAATGACAAAGTGCATATGCAGGTTTGGGGTTTACAGTAAACGCCACAAAGGCTGTGTTGAAGGAAAAGAAAGCTGAAGCATTTTCTGACTGAGTGCATGTCACCTGCTGCTTTAGGAATATGAGAAGGGATGGATTTGTAACATTTTAGTCAAATCATGGGAAAGATTTCTGTGCACTCAGGATGTTTCAGCTCTTGTTTTTTTTTTTGCTGGAGATGATGCTCAGCTACCACTACATCAAACTGTAGCTCTATAATCTATAAAACTACAGAGTTGTAGCCAGTTTTGTGCTGTTGTCTGCAGAGTTGGAAAGTAAGTTCAAAATAGTTTACTATACTTAAGTATAATTTTTGGGTATCTGTACTTGAGTAATTATTTTTCAGCCTACTTTTTACTTCTACTT